CGTGCAAGGTGGGGCTGGGGAGGAGGGAAACGCGGGGAGAGAACCTGGGAGACCAAGGACAAGACCGTGCTGGGACATGTGAGGCAGACGCGGGAGCGCAGGGTGACCTAGGCGGTGGTGCCAAAGGAGCGTCGGGTGAGTGAGGGACTGACAGGAGCAGGCAGCAGCAACCTGGGAAGATGCAGCCACCTGAGGGAGCGCCCCAGCCGGGGGGGTCACGGTGTCCAGAGTGAACAGGCCAGACACCGGGTCCCGGGGGAACGTGGACAGGGGGGCACCCGTGGCGGCCTCGGTACAGACAGCATACCGCTCGTGACCAGGGAACGTAGTGGTGACGCCAAGGTCCTGGAGGCAGCCGACACCAACTAGGTTCCTGGAGAACGAGGGGATATGCAGACCTGTAAGAGAGCCCGAAGGAACCGCCGGACAGGGAAGGGTGGTGGAACTGCGGGCGACTACCGGACCGCCGGAGGGGTCAGCAAGAGAAACGGCAGCAGGAACAGGAAGCGGCGTCAGGGTGGTGGAGTCGCGGAAGAAACACCGGGAAGCGCCTGAGTCCAAGGTGAAGGAAAGCGAAGCAGAGGCGTCTGGCGACGGAGCGACGGCGGAAGCACCAAGACTACACAAAGCAGAGGATCCTACGCCTGACGCAGCAGGGGAGGCTACGCTAGGCACACCTACACTAGGCAACAGTGAGTAATAAGCTGGAAGCACACTAGAGTCATCAGCATACATCACATGCAGAGCAGAAACAATGGCATCCATGTCCATATCAAAAATCTGAATCTTACGACTAAGCAAACTGTGCCAGTCCGGGAGGTCTGGCGACGGGCCGAAGCGCTGACGAAAGAGGTCGTCCAGGCGACGAAAACAGCGGGGAGTGGAGTGACCGATCTTACCGCAAACAAAGCCGCGGCGAGGACCGGTCTGGATCTGGTACTGACAGCGCCCGCCGCCAGAGCTACCACTCGACACACCACCACGCGCCCGGCCACCGCCAGCGCCGGGCCACCCGGGCGGGAGGACACTCGTCTGCCGCGTCTGCGACGGCTGCTGCGGCTGCTGCAAAGGCTGCGACTGCGGCGGCTGCTGCGGCTGCTGCAACTGCAGGGGCGGCGACTCAGCTGGACTGGGCAGGGTCCCCTCGTCCGCTCCAGCACCAGACGACCCGACCCCACCACTACCCCCTCCCGCACCCCCGCCTCCGCCGCGCCCAACCTTGGTGCGGTGGCCCTTCCCCGAACGAAACTGCGCTGCAGCAGCAGTCTCATCCACGGGGACAGAGCCGTCGGAGAAGGTACACTGGGCGGGGGCACAACCCTGAAAGATAGGGACCGGCACGACACCGCTCGCCTGGGCGATGGAGCGGTGACGGGTCTCTATCACAGTCAGGGTTTCTACAAAGTCAGTGAGGGTGAGGTCGGCGGGGTGAATGCTAAGGAAGTGGTCACGGGCGACAGCAAGGCGGTCAGGGAGGCGGGTGGCAAGCAGGTAGAGGGTAGAGGTAATGGGCGGCTGGTGGGCTCTAAGCTGTGCGTCAGTGCAGGCGGCGCGCCAGGTCTCCTCTATCGAGCGCAGGTGGGCAGCGAGGTCAGAGACAGTGGGGAAAGATGCAAGGTCAGGAAAGAGCATCGGGAGGATCAGGCGACCAACCGAGGCAGCCGGAGGGTTGGAATAGCGCTTGATGACAGCATCTAAGTATGCCTGAGCAGTAGTGAGGGACCTAAAGCGAGGACGCTCGGACGGGGGGAGGGCGTTGCTAATGGCAAGCTGGGCGACAGCATCACAAGAAAGCCAGACAGAGCGTGCACGGGCAGTGGCAGCAGTAGACTCACGCTCAGTGGGTGTGGGGTCAGCGGGCAGAATAGCAGGGGGGTCTGGGCAGGGGAGCGTACCGTCAATGTGTGCGGAAAGCGGTTCACCATCCTGCCGCTGGCCAGTGAGTTGGCGGCGGAGGTCGGCAAGCCACGCCTCGAACTCTAGGGGCTGACCTTCAGCGTCGAAGTGAAGCTCCGCCGCCATCAGGAACAGTCCAGTGCGGTGCAGTGCGGTACAGTGCGGTGCAGTGCGGTGCAGTGCGGTTCAGTGCGGTGTAGTGCGGTGCAGTGCGGTGCAGTGAGGTGCAGTGCGGTGTAGTGCGGTGCAAGGCAGTACAGTGTGGTGCGGGGCGGTACGGAGCAGGGCAGTGCAGGGCGGGGTGGGGGGGAATCGTACCAGTGGGGAGGACGGGGCCAGGGCTGGCGCGACGGGGCCGGGCGGGCGCGACGGGGCCGGGCTGGTGCTACAGGGCCGGGACGGGGCGACGGGGCCGAGAGGGTGCGACGGGGCCGAGCTGGGGCGACGGGGCCGGGCGGGTGCGACAGGGCCGGGCTGGTGCGACGGGGCCGGGCAAGCGGGACGGCGGCCGGGCGGGTGCGACGGGGCCGGGCGGCTGCGACGTGGCCGGGCAGGGTGCAACGGGGCCGGGTGGGTGCGACGGGGCCGGGCGGGCGCGACGGGGCCGGGCGGGTGCGACGGGGCCGGGCGAGCGGGACGGCGGCCGGGCGGGTGCGACGGGGCCGGGCGGCTGCGACAGGGCCGGGCTGGGCGCGACGGGGCCGGGCGGGTGCGCCGGGGCCGGACGGGTGCGACAGGGCCGGAAGGCGTGACGGGGCCCAGGAGGGGCGATACGGGGCCCAGGAGGGGCACTACGGGGCCCAGGAGGGGCGCGACTGAACCCAGGAGGGGCGCTACGGGGCCCAGGAGGGGCGCGACGGGGCGCAGGAGGGGCGCTACGAGGCCCAGGAGGGGCGCTACGGGGCCTAGGAGGGGCGCGACGGGGCCCAGGAGAGGCGCTACGGGGCCCAGAAAGGAGCGCGACGGGGCCCTGGAGGGGCGCGACGGGGCCCTGAAGGGGCGCGATGGGGCCCAGGAAGGGCGCGACGGGGCTAGGGAGGGTCGCGGCTAGGAGGGAGGCACGACGGGGCCCAGAAGGGGCGCTACAGGGCCCAGGAGGGGCGCGACGGGGCCCAGGAGGGGCACTACGGGGCCCAGGAGGGGCGCGACTGAACCCAGGAGGGGCGCTACGGGGCCCAGAAGGGGCGCGACGGGGCCCAGGAGGGGCGCTACGAGGCCCAGGAGGGGCGATACGGGGCCTAGGAGGGGCGCGACGGGGCCCAGGAGAGGCGCTACGGGGCCCAGAAAAGGGGCGCGACGGGGCCCTGGAGGGGCGCGACGGGGCTAGGGAGGGTCGCGGCTAGGAGGGAGGCACGACGGGGCCCAGCTAGGGGGCGAGCGGAAGCGGTAGGTGGGGGGGGGGGGGCGGGGGGGGGGGGATCCTACCTACGCGTGATACCATATCAAATAGAGAATTGAATGTTGGTTAGAGTGAGAGTACACACAGATATACCTAAGTGTTGTACTCTCTAAGAGGTGACCCTATACAGTCTATACAAACATGACAAATACACATGTTTGACATACACAACTAAATATAGATAATATATATATGTTGACACATAGGTGCAGTCCTAGACAGATTACAACCCCTTAGACAAAACTACCTTGTACCTCTCATTCTAGACAATCTTTTACTGAGATGGTATCACGCTACTAGGTTAGGATCCCGCCCACCCGCGCTCTCGCCCTAGTCCTAGCCTTAGCCCGAGCCCCCCGTCGCTAGCCGCTTGTTCCTAGCTGAACGTGCCAGCCGCTCGTCGCCCGCTGGCCCCCGTCGCTCGTAGCCCGTTGGCCCCCGTCGCCCATAGCCCGCTGGCCGCCCGTCGCCCGTAGCCCGCTGGCCCCCTGTCGCCCGTAGCCCGCTAGCTCCCAGCCGCTCGTCGCCCGCTGGCCCCTGTCGCCCATAGCCCGCTGCCCCCCCATCGCCCGTAGCCTGCTGGCCGCCTGTCGCCCGTAGTCCGCTGGCCGCCCGTCGCTCATCGCCGCTGGCCGCCGATTGCCGCTTGCTGCCCGTCGCCGCTGGCCGCCCATCGCCGCTGGCCGCCCGTCGCCGCTGGTCGCTCGTCGCCGCCAGCCGCCGCTCGCTGCCCGCTGCCGCCAACCGCCCGTAGCCGCTCGCTGCCCGCTGCCGCCAACCATCCTACCCTGCCGGGTGTGTCTCACGTCACTCCCCTCCCGTCGGTTGTCCCGGTCGAGAAGTCGGCAGCCTCCGCGGGCCCTACGGCTTCGGTGTTGCCGCCTATCTCCACCCCGGTGTCCCCTCCTCCAGCACCGCCGCAGCAGCCTTCGTCGCCGCCGCCGCCGCATTAGCAGTCGTCGCAGCCGCAGCCGGCGTAGCCGCCGCCGCAGCAGCAGTCGCATGGGTCCGCGAGCTTTGGGGTTGCGGGCGTTGAGGAGGGTGCTAGTCCTGGGGGGTAGTGTCGTGGCTTGTCCGGGCGGTCCTGGGGGTGGCACCGGTGCTGGAGAGGGTTCTCGTTCTAGGGGTGATGGTTCTGGGGGTGCTAGTCCTGGGGGTACTGTCAAGGCTGGTCTCGGCAGTCCTGGGAGTGGCACTGGTGCTAGAGAGGGTTCTCGTTTTGGGGTTGCAATTGTGGAGCGTCCCGGAGGTAGCCGTGGTGCAGCTGGAGGTTCTGGTGTCAGCGTGGAGCAATAGCAGCAACAGTCGCCGCCAGTCTCTGGCCTTCGCCTCCTCGGTCTTCCCTCCCCTGACCGCCCGCCTGCGCCTCCCCCGCCAATCTACAGTCTTGTGTTTCCTCCGCAGGACGGGCTCGCTTTCCCCCTAGTTCACCTCATGTTTCTCCTCCTGTGTCTCCTGACCCCACGCCTCCATCCCACTTCTGGTCTTGCCGACCCTCTCGTGCTCGTCCTGTCTCTCCTGTCCAGTGCTCTCACCCTATGTTGTTTCGTTCCCACGCGTCTCGTCCTCCCCTTCGCATGTCGCCTCCTCCATCGTTGCTGGTTGTCGCTCTGACTCCCTTATCTGACTTCCTCCGTGCCACTAGTCCTGTTGTTCTTTGGGTCCTCACTTCTCTTGTTACCAACCCGTCTGTTCCTGTCTCCAGTGTTAGCAGTGAGAGTACGACCCCGTTCCATTCCTTTCTCCTTTCCATCTTCCCTTTCTATTTAATTCCTATTTCTCCTTTTCCATAAACCTTTGGTTTATCCTATTATTATCATTATATTACCGACCAGGCTCGGGATGTACTTGCATCAGAGCTGTCGTTATCAGGGTATTTTACCCTGATTCCCTGATTTCATAGGGTTTTTTTTTTTGCCAACCCATAATTTTCAGGGTTGGGCTTTTTTTAACCCTAACCTCTTCAGGGCTGTATGTCTGTGAACACTTAGAATTTCAGGGTTTGCGTTATCCCAAAACTGAGTTTTCAGGGAGTAACGCGTACGAACCCTGAATGCGACATCCATGCGTACCCTGAGTTTCGGCGAAATGGCCCCCTTACGCGTGACGGATCCCAGTCCATTGAATACGCCCAGCATGCGTCACATGGAGAATCTGCACTTGGCAACATTCCCACCGTGTACACGCTGTATGTTGCCATTTCAGCAACATTTCCAACCGTTAAGTGTGGGAAGGTGCACTCCGTCATGCCCCAACCTGGCATTCGTAACTCAGCATGCAGCAGACGAGGACAGAATATGCTGAACGCTGCAATGTCAGCCTCTGTATGACATCACAGCGCCAATCATCTCTATGCAGACGATGCCAGCGCAGGTGCGTCCCGCCGTTGACGGTATCGCCATGGCGATGTGGGATCTTGGATGGGTTATGCACCGTTCATGAAAATCGAAATCTGGGATTTCTTGTTCCCCTTCCCATCTTCTTCACCAGCTTCTCCTCCAACCCAGTTTCCTCCTTCTCTTCACGTCGCACATACGAGATGCTCCATTCGTGTTTCTCGTTCACTTACGTCGCGTCGATTTCTCGTTTCGATCGTATCCGCCGCTACTAGCCATGGCAGATGTAGGAGAGTCTCGTGAGTCTCCCGTTGCCGATGATGGTTCTGGACAAGGTAGGGACCCCCCCCCGTGGAGGTCCGTAGATCCGCTCTAGACATATTGCGGTCTCCCACCGCAGTCGTTACACCATCACAACCCGTATCTACTCCCGCTCCCTATGTACCTCCGCCCGCTGTCGCTTCATCTAGCCGGGGCCCTTGGGTTCCGGACTGCGAGACAGCCACGACCGTGCATTACACGGTCGAGTGTGCTTCCACGATTTCATTTGGGAAAAAGGCACGCATCGGGAAGTACACCCAGAGCACGATAGTCCTCGGCGGGAAGCTACGTCGACCGTCGCCGCCTCGCATGTTGCCTGAACCTCAGGCCCCTGCTATTCCAGAACCCGAGCCGCCGAAGCTCTCGAAGAAAGAACTCATCGAGCAGAAGTATCTCATGGCTGAGCACAAGTATAAGACCAGCTAGCTTCCATTTTTCCCTTGGCTTCTGCTAACGAAAACGAAAGACGGTTACCCTGCGTTGAAGTGCAGTGTGTGCAAGGCTTTCGGCAAAGAGACAACACCGTACTCCAACAGCCGCGACGGGGCACGTGACCTGCAGACGCAAGCGATGCGTTTCCACGAACACATGATAGCCCACAAAGTAGCACTCAAGCGTCAGATAGAGACCGCCGAAGACATCGCCAGCACCCAGAGGCGCATGGAGAATTACGCGCGGATTGACATCGAGGGGAAGCGCGTCATGAGGCTCCTACCCTGCGTCGACTTCCTGTGCAAGTGTGATGCACCCATCAGCATGTACCCGAGGCTACTCCGCTTCATGGCCGAGCAGGAGACCCCGGACATTCCGCTGCAGTCTTACGGAGTCTACCTGACACGGTAATGCACTGATTCAAAGTACACCATATCCTTCATTTTCTTAATAGGTCTAACAAACACCATGTTGCTACTTCTGCTACTACAGGTATGGCTTCTGTCAGCTTGTCAGCAGCTTGGCATCCTACCTGCAGCGCCGACAAATGCAACACATTCTCGCCTCACCCTACCTTGGCATCAGCTGTGACGAGATCACTGACCGTACTCGTGGTAAACATTTGATTGTTTATCTAACCTTCTTGCGTGCGCATCGTGTTGTCACAGAGTTTTTTGCTCTCTTGACCGTCGAAAAGTGCGATGCCGCGTCTCTCCTCGCCGTTCTTCTGGCTCACTTGCAAGCAGCTGGCATCGACCTCTCCCGAATCACCGGCATGAGCACCGACGGCGCCTCTGTCATGGTCGGCCGAGACAATGGTCTCGTCGCCCGACTTACGAGCACATCCCCCATCTCGTCTCTTCGCACTGCATCGCGCACAGGTTTAATCGCTTGTCATTTCAATCGCTTAGGTTTCCTACAACTGCTTGACAGAAATTCCTTTGTGTGCACCATGCAGGGAAGCCTTGGCGGTGAAGGACACCGCCACTCCTTCTCCAGACTTTGACATGGTCGACCTTGTGATTCGAACTCTGGCCGATCTTCGGGGACATTCATGTGTCTGGAGTCAACGCTTCAAGTACCTGCAGCGGGCAATACACAACACCAACCTTGAAGTGCAAGGAATTCACACCGTGCGCTGGCTTTCAAGGGGTGAGGCTGTGTGGCGCCTTTGTAAGGTCCTTGGCGCCACTATTATTCTGTTTCATGAGTACGGGCATGAGCTGTATGAAGTCGTCATCTGTTACAAGTTCCAGTTCTGCCTTTTTTTCCTGGCGGATGTGCTCGGAGTGATGAATGAGCTCAACCTCAAATTCCAGACGAGGGAGGTGAGCTTCTACCACTGTGCATGTTGTAGTACTTGTACCATGCATGCATGTTTGGAATCACCCTCTGAGTCCACTCCCTTGTCTGTCACTTCCACCAAGTCGATGTCACCGAAGTGACGAAGGACATCGACGAGGCGACAGGGGACCTCCGCCACCGCTACCTGGAGTGCGGAGAGGTGTTCGTTGGGGGGGTCGAAGGCACGTGGCTTTCGGCTTTCTTGGCCGTCTACGGGCACGAAGGGAACAAACGCGTAAAGGTGCGGGGCATCGACAAGGACGGCAGCCCAGTCACGCACACCTACACCATGCACGAGAAGCAGATCGACGGGCATGCCTTCCGCAGCAAGTACCCCGATTGCGAGCGGCTCTGCGCGCAGTTCGCAAAGGACACAACAAGCTTCCTGAAGACGAGGATGCTAGACCTCAACAATCTCGGCCCAACGAAGCTCTTCTGCGTGTCGAAGTGGCCCCGGATGAAGTAGCAGAGAAAGAAGAAGCTGAAGGAGTACCTACATGGCTGCAGTGCCTTTTTTGACAACAGGCTGACATGCTTTTCCTTGCAAGCTGCGCAGAAGGAGCTGGTTACGTGGGCGCCACTGATGCTGAGCCACCATGCCGACGAGGGATTCCATGAAGGACTGACGAACTACCTCGGCTCGACGGAGTCGACCTTGTGAGAGACTGCTGTTCGAAGGACGTTTGTTGCATGTTTTCTTGCCGGTTCTAATCTTCCCATTGGACGTTGTTGTCTATCGCTTGTTGACTAGTTGCACTAATGCACTGGTCTTGTTCTTTGCACTCTGTTCCCCCAACCCTTTTGGCAGGCGCTGGCCCAACCTCATGCGCTTGTGGCAGGCGTGCGCTGTCCTGCCGCTTAGCACAGTGGAGTGTGAACGAGGCTTCTCGCGGTAGAACGTTATCAAGTCATGGGTGCGGAGCGCGTTGTGCAATGCGCGCCTGAGCGAGCTGATGGTCATTTCCCTGCTGTAGTATGAGATTGACTGGGACAAGGCCCTTGAGTGTTGGCGCGAGAAGCTGAGGCGCCCTGCTAAGTCTGTTCTTTTTGCCTCAGCGGAGAGGAAGCGTAAAGCCAAGGTGATTGAGGGGGCAGAAGGGAGGGTGGAGGAGGAGGCAGTCCCCGACTACATGGGGGATTGGGCAGAGGATGAGGGAGAGGAGGGGGTAGAGGGGGGAGAGGCTCCTCTTGAAGTGGAAGACAACCCGTTTCTGTCCGATGACGAGGCAGAGGACGATGTGAACATGGATGGCCCAGAATTTTAGTTAACGGTAGCTAGTGGCGTGGAATCCTGTAAAGTCTAGACTAGATAGAGGACTTAACTGAATTTGTAGACTGGCGTAGTGGTGCTTTTGCTAAACTACTAGCTGTACAATCCTAACGTTCTCTTAACTGATTTTTTGCAAGTGCAAAGCAACCCTGTTTGTGGCTAGCCAACCCTGGAGGTTTCAGGGTTGCATGTTCCAGAACACTGAGAAATCAGGAAAGCCAAAATTTCAACACAAGGCCCTCAGGGTAATTTTTTTTTCCCATTCGACAGCTCATGGTGCTTTTTTTTTAAACGTCAGCCCTGACTGGCACGCTATATCTAGCGTAATCCTGCCGTAATCCTTTAAAGCCAATAGCATCGCGTGGCTATACACAGGGTGATTCTATTTTCTAGAAGGGTCTATTCTCTTGGGATAGGATAAACCTGGTTACCTGATGTACTTTGGAAGTATAAAAGCGCCTTGTACTGATCGATAGTGGAACCTTTCCTCGACATATTCGATCCTGTGACACTTGGTAATCAGAGCTTTTCTCACTCGGCCGCGCTCAGCTAAGCAGCCGCAGCGGGACTCCTGCCTCAAAAAACCGCCGGGGGCGACCAATTCGACGCCGATTCTGGTCAGCACAAGCTCCACGCATTTTCGAATTACCCCCCCCCCCCGCGCATGTTTTGAACAGGATGGCAAACTTTGACAATGCCGAGGTTACCCAGCAGCTCTTCGCGCGCATCGCAACCCTTCAGGAGGAGATGCGAGCGGATCGCGAAGCGTGGCGAAACGAGTTCGAGCGAGTAACTCGACTTGCCGGAGCGCAGCACGACTCGACAACGGCGACGACGCAGCAGTCGCAGCAGTTTCTCGAGGCTCCGAAACCGCGCCCACCTGAGCCATTCGATCCGAGCGATCAAAACTCCGACGTCCGCAGATGGATCGCCGGCATGGAGATCTACTTCGCAGCCGTCGGATGGAGCTCGCCAGTCTGGGACGGTCAACGCGTACGACTCGCGGCGACTCTGATGCGAGGACCGGCACTCGAGTGGATCGGCGGTAACAGCACGTTCATCCACGGCGAAGCCACGTGGCAGCAGTTCCGCACCGACCTGCTGAAACTTTTCGAGCCGATAAATTCGGGTTTCCTTGCCCGGGAAAAAATTCATCGCCATCGACAGTTCGGGAGTGTAGCACAGTACACGCAGTAGATGGAAGAATTTTATAACCGTATTCCCGACCTGACCGAAGGGGAAAAAGTACAGTCGTACCTCACCGGGCTGAAGACCGAAGTCAAACGACAAGTGGCAGCGTCAAACTACGCGAGCTATAGTGACGTCGTATCGGCCGTGGGACGCTTCGACATGGTCAACGCCGGGACACGACGGGCACACATTGGAAGTACGCGACAAGGCGACCGCTCGGCTCACACCACGTTCGCCGACCTGATGGAAATCGACAGGAAGGACGGGCGGCCACGTCAGAAAAACAACAACTTCACGTGTGATTTTTGCGGGGTGCCGGATCATCGAATCTTCGACTGCAACAAAATGAAAGCCGCACGCACTAAGTATCGGGCACGCAACAGTGGCGGAAATTTCTCGGCCAATCAGAAGACAAAAAATGGGAGTCGCCAGTGATTGCGGATCTAGCTGGCAAAAAAGAAAATATCCGAAAGCGGCCGCGGACTTCCGGAAAAATCAACTTCGACGCAGCTGATTCGACGCGATCAGGAGAAAATGATGGGGAAAAATCTCCACCCCACGACCAGTCTTTGCCAGAGGAATTCGCCGAGGGAAAATCTAACTCCGCGAAAAAGGACTTTATCGAGACGGGGAAACTCCTTGAAGACCCAAGAAATGATAAGGATTCGTTAAAGTTATCTTGTAAAGATGCTTTAATGAAAACTTGTAATTCTCGAGGGGCTAGAGCCTTGGAGAAATTACGCGAGGGACTCCAGAAGAAGCAAAAAATTGTGGAGGTCATACCGGTACCAGAGAACTTGGGGACCAAATTAAGGAGTGTGGAAAGAAGCCGACCTTTCCACGGAGTCAACGTCCTCTCCCGACACCAGCTCACAGCGACTACCCATTCCCCAGGGAAGACGTCGGTGGAGCTGAAGCAGCTCAAAATGAAGCTGGGGGTCTACAAGAAGCTGCAAAAACCCCGAAATCCTTCTTCGGATGCATCCAACTCGGCAACTTCGTCAACGACACGAACAGTCGTCACGGAATCTCCGGGCCCAGGAGAATAGCCAAGCAGCCTCAGCCAGCTGCCAGCTCAGGAGTAGGAAGCAACGAACATTGGGATGTACCCTATGACTCAATCAATGAAACTATCTTTGGGTACTCCGAGCAACGCCTGCCCCTCGTGCTCGAGGTCATCTGCAAAGGACGACGCCTCCAAGCACTCGTGGACAGCGGAGCATCGCACACCGTATGCGACAAGTCAACCATCGACTGACTTCGAGAAGAGTACAAGCCATCAGCATTTTCTGCAACGATGGTGGACGGCAGTAAGTTACCAGTGTACGGCGAAGCAGTGGTACATCTACAAATTGAACCACTGCGCTGGAGACCTGCACTCCCCATCACCAACATCAAAGGGCTTGACTTGATCTTCGGGCGAGACTTCCTCAAGAAATTCAACCCCGAAATCAACTGGGTAAACCGCACCGCAAGCATCTACAACAAAGGAAGGAGAGTCCAACTACCCAACTGGGATGATACAGGAGATATCCCAGAGGAGACACTTGCCAGATTCGAGAAGGACGTCAAGCGAACCAACACCGGATTCCTGGCGATAGCAACAGATGTGGAAACCGACGGAGAGAAGACCTCGGAACCTCCAGGAAAAATCAAGGAAAGACTGAAAGAGTTCCAAGACATTCTCCTTGACGATCTTCCGGACGAGCTACCGCCATACCGAACGCATCAACATGAGATCGTGGAGGAACCAGGCTCGAAGCCGACCTTTCGAGCACCATATCGGCTCAGCCCCACAGAGCTAGCCGATATGAAGTAGCAGATCGAGTATCTCCTCGCCAAAGGACTCATCCGACCATCCACTTCACCATACGGTGCCCCAGTACTCTTCACCCCGAAACCAGACGGAAGCCTGCGCATGTGCATCGACTACCGAGCTCTCAATAAGCAGACCATCAAGAACAAGTACCCGATTCCACGAATCGATGATCTGCTCGACCATCTTCGGGTAGCCACGGTATTTTCAAAATTAGATCTACGGTCCGGATACTGGCAGATACGAATGGCGGGACAACTCCATCCACAAAACTGCTTTCCGAACTCGGTCATGCCGTTCGGACTCACCAACGCAACGGCAACATTCCAAGCCGAAAGGCACCACATTCTACGCCCACTCTTGGACGAATGCGTGGTGGTGTACCTGGCGACACCCTCGTCTACTCGCGCGACATGCAACAACACGTCAAACACTTACGTTGCGTCTTCGAGATTCTTCGACGAGAACGCTTCTACGTCAAAGTATCCAAGAGCGACTTCGCCCTCGAGAAAGTCCAATTTCTCGGACATATCGTAAGCGCTCAAGGAGTTCACGTTGACCCCAAGAAAATCGAAGCTGTGCGTACGTGGAAGACACCCGAGAATGTGAAGGAGTTACATCAGTTCCTTGGCTTCGCTAACTACTACAACAGGTTCGTACCGCAATACGCGAAGATCGCCGCGCCACTCAGGAATCTGCTAAAAAAGAACACACCCTATAAATGGGAGCCGAAGCACCAGGAAGCCGTGGAGCAGCTGAAGCAAGCACTCACGTCCGCACCAGTACTCATCTTGCCAGACCCCGAATGCGACTACGTCATCGAAGCTGACGCCAGCGACCAGGCAGTGGGAGCAGTCTTCATGCAAGACCAGGGGAATGGACTGCAACCAATTGCCTATCTCAGCAAGAAACTACACGGGGCAGAACTCAACTACCCGATACATGACAAGGAGGCCCTGGCTATCATCATCACCTTCAAAATGTGGAGATGCTATCTCGAAGGACACAAGACGACAGTCTACACTGACCATTGCAGCCTAAAATATTTGAAGAGGCAACCAAGCCTCTCTAGGCGACAGGTTCGGTGGATCAACTTCCTCGAGACGCACTTCCACTACGACCTCGTGTACAAGCCTGGCCATAAAAAAACGACATCTGCTACAGTGGGACAACGACATCGCGTACCGGAAAGGATCAACGAAGATCTGGGTACCTAATTACCCTCCATTGCGCCAGTTACTACTCGAAGAATACCACGACGTCCTGTACGCAGGACACTTCGGTAGCAACAAGACGCTCACCGGTATCGCCAAACACTACTACTGGCCCCACATGGGAGATGACGTACAGAAATCCGTCACCTTGTGCACTACATGTCAGCGAATAAAGAGCAGCAGGCAGAAAAATGTGGGTCTACTACAGCCTCTTCCTATCCCAGAATAGCCATGGCAAGTGGTCAGCCTAGACTTCATCACCGGGCTACCAACTAGCACAAGCGGTCATGACGCGATCCTCGTCGTCATTGACAAGTTCTTCAAAATGGGACACTTCATCCCGACACACACGACAGCACGCACCAAGGAGATGGCACAACTCTTTGTTCGCTACATCATCTCACAACATGGCATTCCAACCACACTCATCTCCGGCCGAGACCCTAAGTTCACCAGTAAATTTTGGAAAGAACTAATGTCTTTACTCGGAACAAGACTCGCCATGTCATCCGCCTACCATCCGCAGACAGATGGACAGACTGAGCGCCTCAACCAGATTGTGGAGCAACTCCTCCGCGCAGCCTGCAAGGACGAAATCTCCAAATGGGATTTGCATTTGTCCGTCCTGGAGTTTGCTTACAACAATACTACTCACGCCGCTACTGGACAGTCTGCACGAGTAGGTCTACCTGCGCCGTCCGCCAGGCTTCACCGGCACCTTCGTCCCGGGAACCTTGTGCCCCCTTCGGCGCCTGGTTCACGGCCTGTGGCAGGAGCCTCGAGAGTGGCACGACACTCTTCGTGCTACGTTAGCGGACCTACAGTTCTTCCCCTCCGCCGCAGACCCCTCGCTCTTCGTTCGTTCAGGCTAGACCCCATTCTACATCCTTCTCTACGTAGATGACCTGGTCTTCACTCTCACTTTCACTCTCACCATCACTCTCACCATCACTCTCAACGTACACCATCACTCTCATGCAGTCACACTTGGTGCGCTAGGTCCTCTCTCTCTCTCTCTCTCTCTCTCTCTCTCTCTCTCTCTCTCTCTCTCTCTCTCTCTCTCTCTCTCTCTCTCTCTCTCTCTCTCTCTCTCTCTCTTTCCCTCTCTCTCGCTTTCTCTTTCTCTTATCCTCTTTCTCTCTCTTTCTCTTATGCTCCTTCTCTCTCTCTCTCTCTCTCTCTCTCTCTCTCTCTCTCTCTCTCTCTCTCTCTCTCTCTCCCTCTCTCTCTATCTCTCTCTCTCTCTCTCTCTCTCTCTCTCTCTCTCTCTCTCTCTCTCTCTCTCTCTCTCTCTCTCTCTCTCTCTCTCTCTCTCTCTCTCTCTCTCTCTCTAGTGGATGTCTACACTCGCATGACTTGGGTGTATGTGCTGCCCAAGAAGAGTGACATAGCTGAAATGGTAAAGACCGTTTGGTTGCCTTTGGTGGAGCGGCAACAAGACCGGCTTGTGAAGGCAATTCGCACTGACCGTGGGGGAGAGTTCCTGAGCAAGGACTTCTCAACTTGGCTGAAGAAGCAGGGCATAAGGCACTCTCTTACCATGCCCTATTCTCCTGCAATGAACGGCATCGCCGAGTGTGCGAATCGGACACTCACGGAGACAGCTCGAGGACTTCTCATTGAAGCCGATCTACCCAATTACTTTTGGCCGGATGCGGTGCGGCATGCATGTGTGGCCAAGAACAGAGCCTTGACTTATGTGGGAGAAGACAAATGGGTGCCCTATGTGGAGTGGATTGGAAGGAAGCCGAAGGTGGGTATGCTTCGGGTGTTCGGGTGCATGTGCATGGCACTTGTGCCTAAGAAACTTCGGCACAACAAGCTTGATGCCAAGGCAACATGGGCCGTGCACCTGGGCATGGCTAAAAACAGCAAGGGATGGCTTCTTTGGGACCCATTTTCCAAGAAGTTCTTGGTGAGCAGAGATTGCAAGTTCATGGAGTGGAAGGCGGAGAACCAAGCGAAGATTGGTGTGCGGCTTGGAGAGGTGAAGAGTACCGGCTTGGAGCATGTGGAGCTGCCCTTTGAGCTGAGTAGCAGCAGCACAATCACAAGGCAATCTCCCCAAATGAATGAGAGAGATGTGCAGAGTTTTCTGCTATAACTGGAGCTTTCTGCGGAAGTGCCTGACGCAGATAGAGCTCTCTAGCTCTGAGGTTCTCTAAGGAGAAAGTTGCCTCCAGAATTGTGTGTTTCACAGAGTAGCTTTAGAAAGCTTATGCACACAAATTCACTAGAATCAAGATTACAAAGTATGGTACACAAGACAAACACTAGTACTACCCCATTGAACCTCGTTGAACACGGCGAGAACGTTCGCACAAGAACGTTTACATAACTAATTTAAGTTGCGCTTAGCCAAGTCAGCAATGGCAGGTGAAAATTACAGCACATGCATTGTTGGTAATTTTTACCCACTCAGAAGTAGTTATTTTAACAGTTTCATATATGAAACTGTCAGATGTTATGCACATTTCCGCAGTTACGAAATGTGCGTCACGTGTTCAATTTCTCAATGTCGCAGGCAGATTTTGCCGTTTTTTGGTCCAGATCGGTTATGAGGTTAGCTTACGAAATCGCAAATTTCTCGCGATTTCGGAACGTACGTTCATCAGAAAAACCTGTCCTTTGTTTTTCTGTCGAAGGGGCGCTCGCAGAAGTGAAGTCCGAGATGACTCTCTTGCTGCACTTCTGCCGAATTTCGTTTCTGCTGAGGGGGGTCACCGCAGAAGAGATAGCCGAATTGCATTTCTGCCGAACTCCCGCAGAACGCAATTTTGCGCGAACAGGTTCTGACACCACTCTGCCCAAGGTCCTGCTGGAACGCATTTCTGTAGAGTCGCTTCTGCCGAAAGGGTCGTCCGCAGAAATGTCTTCTGCGCGATACTTCTGCAGAGGACAACCCTTCTGTGAATGGCCCCTGGTGCCAAATCGGCAGAGGGTCTTGTACACTCGCGTTTCTTCCAAGACCACTTCTACAAACGCACAGAAATCTGTCGAAGCCATATGCAAGAAAAGCGCTCCTGTTCTGCCACTTCGACAGAACTGCTTTTCTGCCACCAACGAAAACTGCTCATCTGCCACTTCCCGCAGAGCCTCGCCTTGTCGACAAATCTGCTCTTTGTCGATGGGCCTTTCTGCAGGGCTCGTGTCCGCAGACTTCGTTGATACGCCGCTTCCGCAGACTTCTGCAACCTTCGCAGGATCAGGGCTATTCTCAACAAGATGAGGAGGAGGACGTGCAACAAGGTGATGAGCGTGCACCTTCACTTCCGCCTCGTGCTACAAGCGCTCGCGGGAACCGACCAGATTTGCAGCAACGCCATGAGATCATCCAAGTCCCTGCAGCACAGGAGGAAGGAATGTGGAGAAGGAGGACTCAACCCCCAATAGGTTGAGCTATGACCGGCTTGGAAGACCAGCCAATTCAACCTTGACCAGTTCGGCTCTCATGCTAGGCGAAGATGCGGAAGATGAAAGCGAGGAGTGCGCTTTTGCCTTCTTCTCTCCGGTGGAGATACCGGGGGAGCCTACAAATCCCAAGGAGGCTTGGGAGGGCCCCAATGGGAAGGAGTGAAAGAAGGCCTCAGATGAAAAAATGGGGAGCATCATAGAGAACGGCACGTTTGACTTGGTCAACCTACCTCTGGGGCATAAGGCGATTTCTTCCAAGTGGCTCTTCAAGCGCAAGACCGACGCCGACGGCAACATTGAGCGCTACAAGAGCAGAATTGTAGCCAAGGGGTATCGGTAGCAGGAGAAGAAGGACTACAATAAAGTATATGCTCCAGTGGTGATTGTAGCCAAGGGGTACCAGCAGCAGAAGAAGAAGGACTACAATGAAGTAGATGCTCCTGTGGTGAAGGGTACCACCCTTCGAACTCTCTTCGCCGCGGCGGCCATCAAAGGATGGGTGGTGAAGCAAATGGATATCGTAACGGCCTTCCTCAACGGATTTTTGGAGGAAGAGACCTACATGGAGCAGCCAGAGGGGCATAATGATGGGAATGGCAGAGTGTGGAAGCTAAAGAAAGCACTCTATGACCTCAAGCAAGCCCCTAGGCAATGGTACATCAAGCTGCGGGAAGTCTTGGAGGCGATCGGCTTCACACCCTCAACGGCCGATTAATCGTTGTTCATGCTTGGCAAGGGGGAGCAAAGGAGCATCACGGTGGTTTATGTGGATGACATCCTCATATTCTCACCCTCCTCTGACCTTGTGAAGGAGGTGAAACGAAAGCTTCAAGACAAGTTCAATGCTGAAGCGGTGGATGCGAGTGCATCAAAAGAAGTACTTGGAGGCCTTGGCTGCAAACTTTGGGAAGAGTGAAGGTCATGTGGCTAGTCCTCTATCCTTGGGGCTCAAGTGTGTGAAAGGACCAGCGGAGGAAAGTGTTGGTGAAGAGGAGAGTCGCCGTTTTCACTCCTTGTTGGGCAGCCTCATGTATGCGGCCGTTCACGCAAGGCCGGATGCAGCCTTTGCTACCGGGCAGCTGGCTAGGGTTGTCCAATGCCATAATGAAGTACCTTGGCCAAACAGCAACTGTTGGAGTGCAATACTCCGCGGCAACACAAATGCGTCAAAAGCGTGCGGATGGAGTCCAACCCGGGAGGCTCTTTCTCACCGCCTTGGGCATCAGAACCTGAGGATATGACAAGTTTGGGAAGCTTCATCTGCTGTGTTGGTGGAGGACCAACAGCTTGGGAAAGCAAGAAACAAGTGGACCAAGCATTGAGCTCGGTGGAGTCCGAGTACATGGCACTGTTCCGTGCCATAAGAGAGGTTGCGTGGCAGCGGTGTTTGCTAGCTGAATTGGGGGAGGAGCAGCAAGGAACTACCCCACTCTATTGTGATAGCCAGGGTGCTATTGCAGTCGCCGAAAACTCCGTACTTTATGGCCTTACCAAGCACATGAAGGTGAAGTGGCATTGGGTGAGGAGCATGGTAACTTCGGGTGAAGTGGAGTTGCACTACGTGAAGACGACGGCGCAACCAGCTGACATGATGACCAAGAGGCTGGTTGAGTAGCAGCATTGGAAGTGTTGCAAGCTTGCTGGAATGGCTATGAACTAAGGGGAGCAGATTCTAAGGCCAACAGTCTGAGGGGGAGTTCGTTGGTGCAACCCTATGGCTTGCACTCGGCTTTTTGTCTTTGTTTGTGTGTGTGCATGCATGGCATGGAATGATTTGTGAGTCCATGTCATTTCTATCTAGTGCTTGTTGTGTGCTTGAATGGTGTATCACAATGTGGTTTGTGTCGGTCAAGACATTAGCGAGTTTTTACAGCTCGCATGTTGAGTCGTCGTTTGCGGGTCGCATGTGTTTTTCTATTTTTGTCGAGTGTGAAGTGTCCATTGCGTCGCAGGTGAGTGCAGCAAGCCCTCATCAACTCAAGAAGAATTTATCTTGCAGAACCAAGACCAAGAGCTCAAAATTTCAAGCCCAAGGGACATGGATAAATATTAAAATAGTGAAAATAGTAATGCTACTTCATGTAGTGTTACATTTCAAGCCCCTTGTTGGGTTTGTTTCGGGTCCCTTCGTGGTTGGGGACTCTGTGGTGGTGTACCACCAACGTGGACCTCGGGTCTTGGGGTATGTAGAGGGTGGGAACCATCTCAATCTCTATTCTTCTTGCTAAGTTTGTACTTCTAAGACTGTGGTGGCCTATACCTCATGCAAGTAAAACCGTCATAATGCCGTCAAATCTTCATGGAACTTCATGATTCAATTTGCTGCTGATAGGAGACACCAACGCGCTCCAGATGCAGCTTACAGATCACGGTTTAAGTCATCTGACAGAAATTCGACTTTGCACTCTATCTCTCATTTTAGGCACATCTGAGCCTATTGTGGATATAACATCTCTCTTGCTTTCTCTCTCTCTCTCTCTCTCTCTCTCTCTCTCTCTCTCTCTCTCTCTCTCTCTCTCTCTCTCTCTCTCTCTCTCTCTCTCTCTCTTTCTCTCGCTCTCTCTCTCTCTCTCTCTCTCTCTCTCTCTCTCTCTCTCTCTCTCTCTCTCTCTATCTCTCCCTCTCTCTCTGTCTCTCACTCTCTCTCTCTCTCTCTCTCTCTCTCTCTCGCTCTCTCTCTCTCTCTTTCTCTCTCTCTCATGATCTCTCTCTCCCTATCTCTCTCTCTCTCTCTCTCTCTCTCTCTCTCTCTCTCTCTCTCTCTCTCTCCCTTTCTCTCTCCCTTTCTCTTTCTCTTATGCTCTTTCTCTCTCTTTCTCTTATGCTCCTTCTCTCTCTCTCTCTCTCTCTCTCTCTCTCTCTCTCTCTCTCTCTCTCTCTCTCTCTCTCTCTCTCTCTCTCTCTCTCTTTCTCTCTCTCTCTCTCACCCACTTTCTCTCTTTCTCTCTCCCCCTCTCTCTCCCCCTCCTCCGCTTCTCTTCTCTTCTATTTTTCATGGTGCGGGTCTTTTCTGGAAGATGCTACCAATTTTTTAATGTGGACTTTTACATGAGACCGTTTTTTTTTGTTAATTGCTTTGTGTTCCATGTTTTGCTGCTGAATGTTTGCTGCTTTCTTTTTAGTTTTTTCTCGCTTTATGCAATGCATTTTCTGTTTCTCAAAAAGTGGATTGTTCTTATCATTTCACATATGGCACTTGACACGCTCTGTGAGTGCAGTCATTTGAACTGGAAGTGATGAGTGCAATCTATTTTTTGGAACTCACAAACTGTATTGTTTAGTCTCTACTCTATCAACTCCCCCCCCATGCTAGTACTGGGGAAGCGATAGATAAGTTGCATTTATTGATAGGAATAAAAATACCGGAAATGGTGGGAATCAAATGATCGACATTTGTTTTCTATTGGTTCCTCGGTTGTTTGTAATTTGTGTGTCAACTGAAAATATGTGTGCACATATTTTCAATATTTTTAGGATAGATCACATTACAAGCTTTTCTTGGTAGCTTTGGGAAGGATAGCTTGCTTTTGTAATTGAAAATACAAAGAAAACAAATACAGGGTATGGAAAACAAATATGGTACATCGATTTGTTTTTCAACACTTATTACTGACTTGGTCTACCAAAAATGTATCTACATTATAACACTTGCGATGTATATTTTTATTACCTTGTTCAATATATGTTATGGACGAAATTGGATTTTTTTATCTTTATTTTTTAAGATTAGAAAACTAGAATAAAAAAAAATAGGATCGATTGCAATAGGTTGCTTCGCAACCCAAAAATTCCCCAGGGGCTATGTTTTCAAAAATGGCCTACCTTGGTCTGTCGTTGTTTAGAAACCCGAAACCGTGAAATTCTCAAGGTTCACATAACGCGATCACGGTCGAATTCAACAACTGCTGTACGCATATCCGAACTTCCGCATCCTCTCTTTTTGTAGAGAGGGTCTTCGCTAGCCCTTTTCCTAAGCTGTTAGACGAGGGGGGGTGGGGATGGCTCTTTCTGATCTCCTAAACTAAGTGAAAATACTAACTCGAACGTATCGGACGGCCCAAAGCTCAAGTGAGGGAGGGAAATCAAAAAGGAGGGAAAGGGGGAAATGAAATCAAGGGGAAAAGGGGAGGGAATCAACACCAAAAAGAGTGGGGAAGCAAAACGGAAGGGGAACGGGGATCGAAACGCAGGTGAGGAGGGGATCGAAATCGAGGGGAAGGGTGGACGTCAGTGAGGGGAGACAGAGCCTCGCAATTGGCCAATGAGCACCGTGCGTGGGAGCGACTTCGCTCGCTTGCAGCATCATGGAATTGACTTCAACCGGCATGAAAAATCTGGGCTGTTAATTACGCGAATCCATCGACGATTGATAAATATCGAAACGATCGCAATTGTTCATGACCGTCAACACGTGTTGGACTTTTAGTTATAACGCACAGGCAACTTGTAGAAATCCCCTCAAAAGGAACAACGGCTGTTAGAGGCAAGGTTTTTGTCCTGCTAAGGCGTTATCACTAGTACCCAAATAAGGAGTATGTATATGTACAAACTCCACTTCTCTACTGGGTTGCCAAATTCTCAGGGTTTGTGGGGAGTATGGGTGTAAAGTTGATGTCTTAGCCAAATTATATGGGTTGTGGGAGTGTGCGAGGGGGAATGTCTAAATGAGGACTTCGCCAATAGTTTTTTGTTGAAGAGGGTGATGTCTCTGACTATTAGGACAACCGATTTTTTTTACGTTGTTGGGTGTATGGGGCAATTTTTTTGTAGGTTGCTGGGTGTGTGGGGCGAGTGTTTGTACGAGTTCTTGGAAGCTTTTTATAGGTTGCTATGTGTGTGGGGGGAGTGTCTGTACAATTGGACTTAGCCGACTTTTGTATGTAGGTTGCTGGGTGTGTGGGGGAAATGTCTTTGGCGATTGGGGACTTAGCCGAAATAGCAGGATTGTGGGCAGTTCGGTACAATTTGTCTGTATCAGGGTCGGTATGCATCGTTAAGCCCTGTAAACTCAGTATCCACAAAACACGGTCCTTGAAATTTTCAGTCTTAGAAAACTTACATCCTTGAAGGGTTAAGTGTTCAGAATTTGATCACCCTGAAAATTAAGGGTTGGTCGGAAAACATACCCAGTAAAATCAGGGAATCATTATAAAATACCCCAATAACGTCAGCCCTGCCCACAACCCCCCGAGCAGGGAGGCCTGTAGCCCTTCCCCGAGGATCTCAAGGGAAACCCCAACGGGTCTCTCGACAGAGATCGAGGGCCAACCCTCACATGCTGCACAGATTTGCCTATTTCGGGAGCCGTTCTTTTACGAGAGGCTGATTCAATTTGAACAAATGCATTTCTCATTCTGATGATACACCCCAAGAATACGCCCTTAGTCTCTTCCAACGATCTCTGGGCTGCACGCAACCCAACAATTGATACGCTGTACACGTCAATATGATAGGTGACGAATAAGCCTCATTTTACCTAAGCCCCATTTTGTGACATCCGTGTAGCTATCACATATCGCTCACGAACTGTTGGGAAATGGAACCTTAGGGTGCTGACATAACACAATCCCAATGGGAGGAAGTACAGGCAAGCACATCTCATAGTAATAAGTTCACTAGAATCGAGGGTACAGGGTAGTTTTGTGCTAGTGTTATACTCTCTATGAGCATTCAACTATATAGCCTATAATAACATATGCATATATGTTTGACACACCCCCTAGGCTAGATAAGGGGCAGTGCCTGACAAGAGACACGCAAATCAGGGTGGCACTACTAGTCCAACCTCTAAGATAAGGATCTGAAAACCAATCAGAAGGGTACAAACTAGGCAAGAGCAAACCAGGGCGGCGCTACTAGTCCGGCCACTGGAAGAGAAGCCACAAGGCCAGTCAGAAGTATATATAAAAAGAGTAGAACACAATCAAGGTCCCAGCAAGTGAGGAGCTACAGGAACTAGACCAAGCTGCACACAGTGCCGCTGAAGATCTTTAGCCGCAAGCGCCTTTGTAAAGACATCAACTATGTCGGCACCGGATGCCAAGTGTACTATGCGGGCCTGGCGGCGCTGCCGTAACTCGCGCATGAGGAAGTACCAAAGCTGGATGTGCTTCGCTCTGCCCTCGAGTCGAGGCTCCTGACACAGGAGGATCATGGCCCTCTTGTCAGCGTACAGGACCGGGGCAGAGCTAGGCTACTCACCTAAGTCTGTGAGCAAGAAAGTCAGCCAGCAGAGCTCCTGTGCCGCCATGGCACTAGCATCGATCTCAGCCTCACTGCTATACTGGGCAACAAACGACGAGCAGGTGGACCTCTACGAGATGACGCTTGCAGCAAGGCTAACGCAGTAGCCTTCAGAGGACCTGAGCTTCTCAGCGTCGTCCGCCCACAAAGCGTCTGTGTGCCCGGTAAGGACCACCGGCCTGCGTCCTCCTAGCACTAGCCCCATGCTCGATGTACTTGCAGATAATGCAAAACCCTCTTAGCGGTCGACCAGTGATGTGGTCCATGTCTGCCTATCACCACGAAGCGAGCCAGGATGCTGAGAGGATATGCGAGATCTGGACGAGTACAAGTCATCAGGTACATGAAGCAACCCATGAGCTCTGCATGAGGGCTGGTAGGCTCTACACAATCCTCAGGGACTTGAGTCGAGAACCTATGATCTACTGGCAAAGGAGTGGGTTGTGCGGAGGAGAACTGAAGACCGAACCTCTGAAGGACCTGGCGCACAAAGTGTGACTGTGTGAGAGTGATGGGTGTGCGCGGCTCTGTCCTTGGAGATCGGCAGGCCAAGGTAGCGACGCAGCTCTCCTAGGTCAGTGCAGGTGTGTCTCCTCAGCAGCTCAGCCTTCACAGAGGCCAGTGTTTCTCTGTCTACAGTAGCGAAGACCAGGTCGTCTACGTAGACAAGGATGTAGAACGTGGTCTGACAAGAACGAACGAAGAGAGAAGGGAATGTAGAGGATGGGAAGAACTGCAGGTCAGCTAACGTAGCACGCAACGTGTTGTGCCACGACCAAGCCATAAACCGGACGCCAGAGAAGCTACTCGGTCTCACGGGCGAAGGCGCCGGTGAAGCCTGGCGGACGGCACAGGTAGACCTGCTCGTGCAGACTGCCGTGAAGGAACACTGTAGAGGAGTCGAGGGAGTGCAGCTTGTAGTCGTGTTGTGCTGCTACGCGTAGCAGCGCCCAAAGAGTGGTCATCAATACCCTCGCACTGACTGAAGCCTCTGGCCACGTAGCGAGTCTTGAACATAGGCGGCTCTCCGGGAGGGCGCTTCACCTTGAAGAGCCACCGACCATCGACTACATTCACCCAGGTGGGGGAACTGCGTCGACGTAGGTGCTGGTGGATCTCCAAGATGCCATCTTCGCGTCCATGGCAGCTATCCAATGAGAGGCCCAGGGTCCCAAGGTCACCTCAGCGTAAGTGCGAGGGGTCGGGATGTCAAGGGCGTCTGGGTCACCCTCAGGGAATAGCAGCATGGAGCAGAGATGAGGAACAGCCTCGGAAAGGATAGCTAGCTCGTAATGCATGTCCTCTCGGTCATCACTACCAAGGGCAGGTGCACCCCTGATGGACGAAGGACGGGCAGGGTCAGAGACTAGAGCTGTGGCGTAGTCAAGGCAGTGGGTAAAGGCAAACTCAGCGACAGCAGCGACAAGTGCATCAAGATTGGAGACACGAACAGACGGGTCGGTAACAAGAG